CTCAGGGGCGTACTCGCCATCAGTGGTATGATGAAGTCTCTAAGCAGAGACCGGCAACATGCTGCTATCAACAAGTTCCTACAAGGGGAACTTGCCGTCGAACGACAGAAGATAGCCTTGCTACAATAGCAAGGCTCTCATCACTCGATGGGAGGGCCGACACACATGCGTCAGCTCGAAATTTTGGATATTGACAACTCAAGGTACAAGGGAACCGATTAAAATTCCCTTTTGAGATGGTTCGTCGAGTTAGACGATGCCATCAAGGCCCGTCACATCGTGGGTGACGAGATGTAAGTCATCTTCTCCCTGTCCAATTTGACAGGACGAGCACAGACTTGGGCCTGAGGGCTCAAGCTTCACGACCCAAAGGTGTTTGAGTCGTTGGAGATCTTGAAGTCTCGGCTTAAAAAGACGTTTGAGCTGCCAAGAGCCAAGTTTAGAGCACGATCTGCACTCCTGAGGTCGGAGCAAGGTAAGCGTGATGTGCACGCTTACGCACAACACCTACGCTACCTTGCGAGTAGCGTTACGGAGAACCCTGTTGATGAGCACACGCTCATCAACGTGTTCATCTACGGCCTTGTGGATGGACCGGTGAAGACCTACATGTTCCAAGAGGACTTCCATTCTCTGGAAAAGGCGATAGCGTATGCGGAACAAGAAGCCTTCAGCCTGAGACAGTATCAGGCTAACTCATCAAACTATCGTCCTACAAGACGACAGGAAATAGGAGGTCCCGAACCAGTGGACCTCTGTCATATCGAGAGTGAGAACGCTCGCTCTCCGAGTCACAAGCAATCGGCAAGATGCCATCACTGTCAGAAGATCGGGCACTACGCTCATGAGTGTAGTGTCCCGAGCACCGCAATACGTCCAAAGACAGGACGTGATGACCACCGTTGGCCAAGGAAAGGTCTGAGGCGTGGGTCCGATCATGTCTCTAAGCCGCGACAGAAAGTCGGTCCGTCAAAAAACGGACAGGGTCCGTAGGGGCGGAGCACCCTGCCAATCCAGCAACGTCAAGAGAATTTGCAGGACTCTTGACGAAGATTGCTCCCAACACACAGACGATGTATGTTACTTCCCCTAGAGATGAGGAGTCTCTCATCGCTTTGAAGACCGAAGTGACAAGTGGAATGTCACTTCGCGCCCCAGTTGACTGTGGGGCGTCGAACAGTTTTTTCGACATCAGCCGCCAGGGGATAGTAGAATCAACTATGTTGAGCGAGAGTTCCCTCCAACGAGGATGACGGTGTGCCTTGCTACAGGCGCATCCGTAATAGTGAAAAAACGTGTAGTGGGAATCGACTACACGCTAGAAGGAAAGAAGTACGATGATGACTTCATCAGACTGGATTTGAATGACAAATTTGATGTCATCCTTGGTCTGCAATGGCTTAGAAAATACCAGTCATGGGTTAGCTGGCAGCATCGATCCGTGAAGATGCCTGCCGTTTATCCATCAGATGGCCATCTGATGATAGTCTTGGAGCGTCCACAAGCGTGTGGATGTACTACGAGTGAGTGCGATGACCTCACGTGTGGCACCGTCGTTAGTAGTACTGCACAAGATTATATTTCAGAAGACCACCAAAATGTGGAACGAGCTTCCGACACCTGTATAGATACACAGGCTGCGCCGATGGTTCGCCACTCAAAAAAGTCGAGTGGAATGGAACATGGATGCATACCAAGAAGGATGCATCAAGGAAGATCGATTAGTGTTGTTCAGGATGAAAAACATGTTGAAACAAGATCGACTATCATAGAGTCAATTGAAGAGCAAGCCCGGTCGACTAAAAGAAAGTCGATCGAAAAGGACGTGACTGTGGTAGTACACTCACAGTCAGTACACATAATGTAAGAAAGCTCCAGTCTGATCGACTAGCGAAGCGACCTGCTTTCGCAGTTCAGTGATGTCTCGACGAGCTACCGCCAGCTCTTCACGAAGAGAACGAGTCGAACGTTCGTTCTCAATTTGCGCGAACGCAAAAGCGGCACGATCGTCCGAACGATCGTGCTTTAAGGAATTGTAAAAATCCCTTACAAGATACTCAAGGCCATGACGCCGAGTCCATTCGTGAGCTAGGTCATCTAGCAATTGTTCCGTTACACGGTTCAGCTCTTGAACATTAAGCTGATCCGACCCTCGAGCCGGATCAGGTGTCCCCGCCGCTACCAAATCCTTTGGTGTACTTAAGCGGTGGTCAACGCTTTCTATTGGAGCGTTCTTTGATCCCCCATGGATAAGTGATAACGCTTCTGTCATATGATCGCAATGTAGAAGTAAGTCAGGCAAAGTTTTAGGAATTATAAACGTAGCTAAAATAATGAATAAAGATAAGTTCCCTGTTGGACCTTTGGAGGCTAGTCAAGGCATAGCGTTTTGTGAGATTGTCAGCTTTGTGAGGGCATTTACGTTAATTTAGTTAGTAGTTAAAAAGTAGCGTGTAATTTTGTGAATTATTATCGCTTTGGAACCAGGATGATTGAGCTTAAAAGCTTGAACGACTTTACTTCGTTGTTAGTTTATTATAACAAAGAGACTTTGTATTCGAAGACCTTTTTTATTAAAAAGCGCTAAGAAATCCCGCTAAAGTAGTAAAAGGAGGACGACTGTGAACACGGTGTGACCGTGTTGACACAACCTGTGCCTTTTCGAGACGTACACAAGATGGCGATTCATCTCTAGGGAGCACTAGATTTCTCCACGATGACCCGGGACTCGTCCGTGCCAAATTCAAGAAAGTAAACGTGTTGCAGTCAGATCTTGCAGCTTCACTCAGACTGTCGAAGTCAACGTCGTTGTCTTGCACTCCAATTGAAAAGATGGTGTACCGTACCAACTGTTTGAATGTGGACGAGCTAGAAAGGTGTGCTGACGTCGACGGATTTAGAAACGGGGTAGCACGATCCGCTAGTAGGGTCACGATCCGCTAGTAGGATCACGGATCGCTAGTAGGATCACGATCCGCTAGTAGGATCACGATCCACTAGCAGGGTCATGGGGATATCTGGGTGGGCCACAAGAAGATACAGCTGCTGATATACTGGGTGTGGACCACACAAATGCGAGGGGACGATCTTGCTGGAAAGGCGACGCGTGGCATCTGATTATAATATATAGATAGGCATAGGGGTAGGGTTTAGGTTGGTTGGTTGACATTAAACAGAGCTCAATTTACTTCACAAGGCACACGTTATCTCTTCCGGGTAGGATCTTTGGCCCCCCGTCGAATAAAGAGTCACACTGCACGTCTACGAAGTGTCACACCTGGATTGTTTTGGCCAGGTGTGTTCAAGAACTCAAAAGAAACATCAACTGCGATCGGACGCAGCAAGACACGTAAAGGCAAGGCGCAAGATCGCGAGACGGCTCAAGCGGTCAGAAGGCTCGCGGATCAAGCAACCACATAGTGGACAAGGCGATCTCGTTGAGGTCAGGGTAACTTATATCAGTACCTACAATACTCCGTGATCGCGTGAAGATTTCCGCACTATCACAACCCCATCCCCAACACGTTCAAGTTTTCCTTCGACACGAGTCCACCTGGAAGAGTACAACCCGCCCTACCGACGAATACACAAGGTGAGAAAGGCAACACACCCGGGATCGGAGTACCCTCTCTGTTAGTAGGTCGTCCGGGCGCCAGTGGAGAGTTCGGATCGACTCAGGAAATGAGCGATCGCCACTCCACCACACAATGGCAACCGTGGCAGAGACGGTAAAGCTTTGGTGCAAGGATGGAATGCCCTCATCATAACATCAAAAGCATTGTCCGTGAGGCCTGGCTCGCCAAACTTGATGCAGATCGCATCAGGTTTGAGAAGCGCAACCCAGTCGGGGCATGATACAAGTTGCACCGGCTTTCAAGAGAGGCAGGATTACCCTATCACTCGTGGGGCGACTTGTGTATAAGTTGTCTGGACAACTTGAATCATGCCCCTAGGGGGGCCTACCTCCTAATGATCCCCAGAGGAGAGCGCACATCTCTTCCGAGATGGCCGAAGGGATTGACACCTTGCAATCCCTGTACTCACGTTGGGGGAGGTCAGTTTCCGACGGCCCTTCTTCAAACGCAGCGGGTAAATCTCGTCGTACTGCTCGACGAGAATAAGTACACTAACAATCAGCTGATCACGAGGCTCCTAGCTGTCCCTCGCCTGTGGATAGCCACGCCAGCGGAGGAGGTAACTCATTCGGACCTTATTCACGTCGCGGTTGTTCTAAGTACGCTCCACTAGAAAGCGTTGACCACCGCTTAAGTACACCAAAGGATTTGGTAGCGGCGGGGACACCCGATCCAGCTCGAGGGCCGGATCAGCTCGATGTTCAAGAGCTGAACCGTGTAACGGAACAATTGCTAGATGACCTGGCTCACGAATGGACTCGGCGTCATGGCCTTGAGTATCTTGTAAGGGATTTTTACAATTCCTTAAAGCACGATCGTTCGGACGATCGTGCCGCTTTTGCGTTCGCGCAAATTGAGAACGAACGTTCGACTCGTTCTCTTCGTGGCGAGCTGACTGTAGCTCGTCGAGACATCACTGAACTGCGAAAGCAGGTCGCTTCGCTAGTCGATCAGACTGGCTCGTTGAAACGGGACCACTCGAAGGTGGTCTCGGCTCTCGACCGCAGAGGTGTTCTTCGCATCTCGAAACGGGCTCGTACTGATAGTACGGGCGGAGACGTACAAAGTAAAACGTAGGATGCGTACGCATCTTACGAGGCAGTTCAATCGTGTATGCGTTGCCCATTCGGCGCAACACACGAAATGGACCGATGCACTTGGGCAGTAATTTACTGCTGCCCACGTTTGTCACTGCGTGTTTTGGTATATTTACTGTAGACAGTAAAACTAAGTCTCCTTTATTTTGTACAATAACACCCGCTCTTCCCTGTTTGTCTGCGTTTCTTTTCTGCTCGTCTAGTGTATCTGCAACATAGTCTTGAACGAAGCGAAAAACAGCTTCGCGGTTCAGCAGAAATTCCTCTGCTAAATATTCTTGTCGACAGCAGTGCGCATCGCGTGCACTGCTGAAAGAACTTTGTCTTCACCAGTGAGGGCGTCTTCTTCCACGCTTTGGCAGTCAATGGCGTTGCTAAATATACCAGCCTCCTCGTCATCATCATCGATGTCGATCGCATCGACATCGGCATCCATCACGTCGACACCATTGTCAAATAATGATAAGCAAGAACCAGATCTGTTTTTGCTCGAGTGAGTCCACTTCCTTTTAAACTATAGTCACACCTGAAGAATGCGGGGAAACGTGGATGGGGTAGTTTATTCACGAAGAACGGTGTATGCGTTGTCGTCAAATCCACCGAGTTGTTGATGGCGAATTTTGCCATCGGCAAGGTATCACTTCAGCTCGTAAACGAGTGGACATACCCTCAAGTATCTCTTCTAGGACGCGGTTGACGCGTTCTGTCTGACTATCAGCTCCTGGATGGTCAGAAGTCGACATCTAGAACCGTGTTCCAAGTAAACGGAACACGGATCCCAGTTCTCCACTGTATAGCGGGGGTCCCTATCAGACACGAGTTCACGAGGTAACCCGTGAAGGCGAAAGATGGTGTCGGTGAAGACAAGAGCACAGCCCAGGGATGTGGTTAGCTCCGTTACAGCAACAAGATGTACCATCTTGCTGAACCGATCAACAAACACGATAGTACCAATATTCTTGTGAGCGTCGTTGGAAAAACCCGAAGACGAAGTCCATCGATACGGACTGCCAACACTCTTCTGAAATCAATAGAGACTGCAAGGGTGCGCGGGATGAAGGACTAGGCTTCACCCGTTGACAAACTTCACAAGCGCGAATGAATTTCCACACAAACTCATACTGGCGGGGCCAGTAGAAGTCACGACTCACCATGAGGTAAATCTTTTCTCTACCGCGACGCCCACTGGTTTCAGCATCGTGACACTCAAACATGATGCGCAATCGCAAATCATTATGAGCCGGAACGACGACACGAGGTGTGTCTCCGTTGACGGCTGTATAGTAAAGCAGTCCATCACGAACCGAATACCGTTCGATTGAAGAGCGGTATTGAGACGTCAGGCTTGTCTACGACTGACTGCATGGATTGGATACAAAGTCCATCAAACTCAGAAGAGACTCATCTTCTGCGTATTCTTTCTGAACTTCGTCGAGCAGATTCGATGACGGAACACTCACTGTTAGTGTCGCGACAGTAGGATCACCCCTACTGTTGGGTTGAGAAGTCGGCTCGAAATCGGGCCGACGCGAGAGAGCATCAGCGACGACATTAAGTCGTCCTGGTTTATACTCGACGGAGAAGTTGTACTCCGCTAAAAAGACAGCCACCTCGCCGTTCGTTGCGAGAGGTGTGGACTGTTTACGGTCGTGCGTAATGACGCATGGTCGATGTGAACGATGAAGGGCGTATATCCTAAGAGATATACCCGAAACTTGGCCAGTGCATATTTCATGGCAAGGAGTTCCTTGTCACGCACCGAAAATTTTTGGTCAGCTGGTTGCATCTGACGCGTTTGATAACGGACGACGCGGTCAACGCCGTCTGAGTCGTACTGCATTAATGCGCAGCCGACTGCAAAATCGATGGCGTCACAACCCACATTAAATGGTCTGTACTGATCTGCAATTGCCGGCACATGCGATTGTATCAAGCTTTTCTTGATACCTTCAAAGGAGTGCTGACACTCAGCGTTCCATGACCATCTCTCGTTTTTCTTTATCAGACGATAGAGATGTACGGTCATCTTGGCACAGTTGCGCGAGTACTTGTTCAAGCACGCCGCTCAGCCAAGGAACTTTAGAAGTTCTTTGACGTTGACTGGCACAGGCCAGTCGCTAATCGCCTTGATCTTTTCCGGATCAGGGCGTACACCGTTTTTACCCACGATGTACCCAATAAGTGGTATTTCGTTCGCTGCAAATCTACACTTCTTGAGGTTCGCGAACAAATTACGCTCTCGCATAAGAGTAAGAAGCTCCCCGGAAGTAATTACTTTGAGCATCAACGTCCGTCTTTCCACCCATAGCCCGGCTATGGACGAAGACATCGTCGAAGTAACTCGGGGCGAAGTCGCGCACCGATCGCAACAGATTCGTAACACATCTGTATAACGTTGCGGGGGCGTTACTTAGCCTCTGTGGCATCACTAGCCACTCCCAGAGCATACCACAGGGGGTGCTCACTGCTGTGTAAGGGATGTCCCGTTCACGCATGAGGATCTGATAGAATTCATCAAATCCATGGACGAAAAGATGGTACTCTTTGCCATACCAACTATGATGACATCCTTCGTTGGGATCGGAGTTCGAGCAGGTACCGTTGCAGCGTTCAGTAGGTTGAACGCGTGCACTATCTGCCACATTCTTGTTGCCTTTCGCACACAGCAGGTCGGAGAGCTGTGTGGGGATGCTGATTCTCTCACATGACCAGCCGCTAAACGATCGGCAAAGAATTTGTCGATCGCTGTGACCTGTTAACGAGGCAGTGGCCACTGATTCAGGACACATTATTCCGAACCAGGATTCATTTCGATCTCATGCCGAGTGCTTTTGTCCTTGGGCAGCTCTGATGGCACGGATTCCGGGAAAACATCCCTGAATTCAACCGTATCCTTATACAAAAGATTTTTCTTCAAAGACTCCCAAGATTGAGATGTGTACCGCTCAATCCGGGTCTTCTCATCGAGGACACTTTTGTCCATAGATGAGCTACTGAGAACCCGTTCGTTCGCAGCTAACACTTGTGCCAAACGAATGTTGGCGACGTACTCGTCCTCTGTGACGAGTCAGCAGATCTGTTTGGTCTTGTAACTACGCAGATTTCGCAAGAATCGTTTAGATTCTAGCGTCGGCAACTTGATTATCTCCGGAGCAGACATTGGAGGTGTAACCAGATCAAGTGTATAAGCGCCTACACTTGATCATTCATTCACCAAGACATTCAATGTCTTGGTGCTTTTTGGAAAACAAATCCGCAGGTGGTTGGGGATCCACACCCTCAACAAGACTCTCTAAGATATTACCACCTTTTAAAGCACTAAAGCTTTCTTAAATTACTTGTACTGACTGTGAGTGTACTACCACAGTCACTTCCTCTTCGATCGACATTCTTTTAGTCGACCGGGCTTGCTCTTCAATTGACTCTATGATAGTCGATCTTGCTTCAACATGTTTTTCATCCTGAACAACACTAATCGATCTTCCTTGATGCATCCTTCTTGGTATGCATCCATGTTCCATTCCACTCGACTTTTTTGAGTGGCGAACCATCGGCGCAGCCTGTGTATCTATACAGGCGTCGGAAGCTCGTTCCACATTTTGGTGGTCTTCTGAAATATAATCTTGTGCAGTACTACTAACGACGGTGCCACACGTGAGGTCATCGCACTCACTCGTAGTACATCCACACGCTTGTGGACGCTCCAAGACTATCATCAGATGGCCATCTGATGGATAAACGGCAGGCATCTTCACGGATCGATGCTGCCAGCTAACCCATGACTGGTATTTTCTAAGCCATTGCAGACCAAGGATGACATCAAATTTGTCATTCAAATCCAGTCTGATGAAGTCATCATCGTACTTCTTTCCTTCTAGCGTGTAGTCGATTCCCACTACACGTTTTTTCACTATTACGGATGCGCCTGTAGCAAGGCACACCGTCATCCTCGTTGGAGGGAACTCTCGCTCAACATAGTTGATTCTACTATCCCCTGGCGACTGATGTCGAAAAAACTGTTCGACGCCCTACAGTCAACTGGGGCGCGAAGTGACATTCCACTTGTCACTTCGGTCTTCAAAGCGATGAGAGACTCCTCATCTCTAGGGGAAGTAACATACATCGTCTGTGTGTTGGGAGCAATCTTCGTCAAGAGTCCTGCAAATTCTCTTGACGTTGCTGGATTGGCAGGGTGCTCCGCCCCTACGGACCCTGTCCGTTTTTTGACGGACCGACTTTCTGTCGCGGCTTAGAGACATGATCGGACCCACGCCTCAGACCTTTCCTTGGCCAACGGTGGTCATCACGTCCTGTCTTTGGACGTATTGCGGTGCTCGGGACACTACACTCATGAGCGTAGTGCCCGATCTTCTGACAGTGATGGCATCTTGCCGATTGCTTGTGACTCGGAGAGCGAGCGTTCTCACTCTCGATATGACAGAGGTCCATTGGTTCGGGACCTCCTGTTTCCTGTCGTCTTGTAGGACGATAGTTTGATGAGTTAGCCTGATACTGTCTCAGGCTGAAGGCTTCTTGTTCCGCATACGCTATCGCCTTTTCCAGAGAATGGAAGTCCTCTTGGAACATGTAGGTCTTCACCGGTCCATCCACAAGGCCGTAGATGAACACGTTGATGAGCGTGTGCTCATCAACAGGGTTCTCCGTAACGCTACTCGCAAGGTAGCGTAGGTGTTGTGCGTAAGCGTGCACATCACGCTTACCTTGCTCCGACCTCAGGAGTGCAGATCGTGCTCTAAACTTGGCTCTTGGCAGCTCAAACGTCTTTTTAAGCCGAGACTTCAAGATCTCCAACGACTCAAACACCTTTGGGTCGTGAAGCTTGAGCCCTCAGGCCCAAGTCTGTGCTCGTCCTGTCAAATTGGACAGGGAGAAGATGACTTGCATCTCGTCACCCACGATGTGACGGGCCCTGATGGCATCGTCTAACTCGACGAACCATCTCAAAAGGGAATTTTAATCGGTTCCCTTGTACCTTGAGTTGTCAATATCCAAAATTTCGAGCTGACGCATGTGTGTCGGCCCACCCATCGAGTGATGAGAGCCTTGCTATTGTAGCAAGGCTATCTTCTGTCGTTCGACGGCAAGTTCCCCTTGTAGGAACTTGTTGATAGCAGCATGTTGCCGGTCTCTGCTTAGAGACTCCAATATACCACTGATGGCGAGACGCCCATGAGTGCACTCATGCGGCCGACTACCTCCCACTCTGATTCACTCATACGGGAGTAGCCTTCACGTGTGACGTGAAGCTGTCGTCTTCTACGTCCAACATGTTCAAGTTGGACGGACACTAAGTAGTCGTTGGACGGACTACGAAGTGCTACCAGGTGACACGGGGCACCCTCTGTTTAGGGCGCCACGAAACTTCACGTACACTTGTACGTGCAGTGGAAGCTAATTTACGTAACATCTATGTTG